CCAAGAATCCCCCAGCCAGCATGGCTGGCTGGGGAATTCTGGGAGTGGAAGTCCACTCATCTTAAAGTGGCCAAGTTTGGACAAGACTGATCTAAAGGTTCCATACTGACTCACCTTGTTTAAATTTTAGCCCTCTTTTCATGAAGACTTTCAGCAGAGCTTTTTGTGTTTAATATGAAGTTTATATAATATCAAAGGAGTTCCTTTATTTTTACGTGATGTAAATATGCAACATTTTTCAAGCATTGTTAATGTGCATGCATGATTGGTTAACTTTTATGTGCTCTTTGTTTAATAAAGTTATAATATGTTTCTCTTTGCATTGGGGAATATTGTACTTCAAATACAGATGAGAAATCTGAGCAAAGGTCATTCTTGCTAAAATTGTAAGTGGGTACCTAGTTTCCATTGCTGTGGCACTTGTTATATGCATACACCAGCCAACTCACAGATACAAATTCAGAATTTTTATCCCATTCTTACTTAACTATTCCATTAAAAATTGACTCAGGCAAAAAAGTTTTATAGGACCTCTCAGAGTTAGACTTTAATAAAGTCTCTAGGGGATGGCTGTTCCATAGGTGTAGGTGGTTGTTAAGATTGCCATCATGTCTTCCTTGTGAAAGCACGGTCTCCATACTGAATCTTAAAGATTGTGCTGTACCATGGGAGACAATTCGTAATGGTGGTTTCAGAGTGGCAACTCTGACGCGGGCAACTTCATCTGAGTTAACTGAGTATTTTTATAAAGAACATTTCCAGAATGTTTAGAAACCATTCCAGTGGGAAATGGAAGAACTGAGCTTGGTCTATTCTTTGGCTCACTCGTTCACTCAATTAACAAAATCCCCCCGGGCTGGGGCCTTTTTAAGACCGAGATGTTAAAAACTGAGCCCTCCCCTTCTGCTTTCCTTTCACACCACTTCACTCAATGTCATTTTCCTCCATCTTTTCCAATTGCTTTTTGGCCCAGGGTATGGAGATTATATTTTAACAGTCCATTTTTGCTGTCTTGAAGGAAAAGTATCAAGCCATCTGATCACTTCCAATATTAAACAATTACTTTTTCAACCCCCTCTATATGTGGGGTCCCCCAAAAGACTACAGATCTGTGGCTATCAGCAGTGTATTGGTTTCTGCTGCCCAAATTATTTGGTAGTCAAAGCACCTTTGAGACCGCTTTTTCGGCAGCTAGGGAAAACTGGACCATTGTACAGATCCCTGGGATATTGGGGGAGAGAGTAAATGCAGATAGATTGAATGGTGAAAGCCAGATGTTGGGGGCTTATTGGAGGTGGTTGAACGCAAGCAAAATAGTAAAATAGCACTGGGGTGACGATGCACTTTGCTGCAGTGCCATCAGCGTATATTCACATTTGGGGAGGAGGTATGTCTCACGTATGTGTTAGCTGAAGGAATCTTGCAAAGGGTCTTAAAACGCTTGCTCGTTGTGATTAACAGGGCTGTTTAGCTGAATGCTATTCATTTAATCAATTAGCTGACTGAAAAGCAAAATTGAAACACTCAGTCTGATGGCCCTTCCTCTGAGGCTTGCACTGTGGGAAGCTTTCTCTGGGTGAAAGTCTCCTTCCACTCTGGCAGATGCCGCTGCGAACAGTGTAACGTAGCTCTTCGTACCTCCAGGAAATTTCTGTCTGTCATCATTCACTACAAGCCCAACAGGCAAGCAAGTAATGCTCCTTGGGTTTGCTGTCTCTGTACCCTTTGGCCTTTCTTTTGGCCCTGAGTGGCTGTCTGTGTGGTTGGGACTGGAGTCTCCAGCAGATGTACTCAGGAAGCTCACCCGGCACATAAGAGAATGATGGTGCAGGAAGAAACAGGCACTGGATGAGTTAGTCCCAGACAAGAAGTATAACTCAGGATTAATTTCACAAAGGTGTCTCTTAAATTATCACTTCATAAGTGTGGGCTGGTTACATGACTAGGTGTAGAGGAGCCACAGAGGTGACCTTGGAGGAAATATGCCAAAATGGTTACAGAAACAAAAACATCCTTTACGCCCAGAAAACAAGGAATGCATACAAAAGAAACTCAACTTGGCTCCACCTTAACTTCCAGGGGTACAAGAGGAAAGGAGGAGAAAACACAGTCAGGCTCTGGAGATGCTGTTAGTACAGCCTACATTAATAAAGTACAGTAGAGTTCCAGTCAAACTTCTGGAGTCTGTTTCTTGACCTGGTCTACCTCAAAGGGCTGATACTAGGCCTCAAGTTCTGTTCCTTTGTTGTGAGAAAAGAATTGGGCTGGCAGTTCATTCTTGTGGGAATGAATAAAAGTTGACATCTGTTCACTTCAATTGAAATTGAGTCCGTAGTCAGTATTGCCAAATGACAAACCTGGAGCGTGTTCAGATAAACCCAGTTCTGTGTGTGTGTGTGTGTGTGTGTGTGCGCGCGCACACACCTTTGAGTCAGTTTTTGACTCCTGGCAACTGCCTGGACAGTCCCTGCAGTTTTCTTGGCAATGTTTTCAGAAGTGGTTTGCTCTTGCCTCCTTCCTAGCGCTGAGAGAGAGTGATTGGCCCAAGGTCACCCAGCTGGCTTTGTGCCTAAGGTGGAGCTAGAACTCAGGGTCTCTTACTTTCTAGCCTAGTACCTTAACCACTATACCAAACTGGCTCAAATCCAGTTCTAGCCAAATGGAAAATTCAGGATTTTTTTTTTCAGAGCTAGGAATAGAAGAGCAAATGTATTGTGTTGCAAAAGCAGTTCCAAGGTTTTGAGCTTGAGAGTGACCTATATGAGATAAAGTGGAGGAAATGGCAAAAACCGTAAGAAAAGGACAATGCTCTTCCCAGTAGTTGAATCACAGTTAGCTTATTGTTTGGGATACTGTGACCATATTTGGATGTGCATCTTGTTCATTTTAGCCCGTAGAAGTTAATGTTCCTTCAGCTTTCTTTCCCCTTTGGTTGCTTGAAAGTATTTATGTACTTTCCCATTATAACAGCTCATTAAAGTTAGACTGATCTTCCCACAGGTCAGATGAGGATGTACAGTCATTTAGATTGTAGGTGAGAAATCACACTACTGAGTATTACTTGCCCATGAAAAAAGAAAAGAAAAAATAAATAAATAAACATCCCATTACTTATGAAAGACAAGGTATATCAAGAGTTTTAACTAGGGTTAACACTTGAATAATCAATTAATGAATTAAATCTTGTAAATAAAAAAGAAATTTCTGAAGCAAGCAGAATCATTTGGTTATGCATAAATATTTTCATTATTTTTCATTCATTTCCTTAGGTGATGCATAAATAATTTTTGGCAAGCGCAATTTTAAAAGGCATAATTTCATCCATCTACCATATCACTCATGCATTTTCAACATGATGGTTTAAAAATGAATGCACAAGTCAACTCCACTGGGGAAAAAAACAAATACTGTAGCAAAAATAACAGTGAGATTGTGTATGTTGTGCCGTTATGGTTTGATACTGATGGCTTATTTATAACATGTAAGTCATCCCTTGATGCTGAGGAGTCAAATAATAATGTGCTTTTAAGAATCAGACCATAACCTGCTGTGTTTCTTAGATGTTTGGGAAAAGGTTTGTTTTCCTCCTTCATGTCTCTTGTGAGCCTCTGTCCATACTCCATATGTAAAGCCCAACTTTTTAATGTATTTCTCACTGTGTTTTATGGTTTAATTTTTCTCCAGAGCCCAACTTCATTGCTGCCTATGACATTGGTTTGTTCACTTACTTCTTTTTCCGTGAGAACGCTGTAGAGCATGACTGTGGAAAAACAGTCTATTCTCGTGTGGCCAGAGTTTGTAAAAATGACATTGGGGGGAGATTTTTGTTGGAAGATACGTGGACGACTTTCATGAAAGCTCGGCTGAACTGTTCCCGCTCTGGAGAGATCCCTTTTTACTACAATGAACTGCAAAGCACATTTTATCTTCCTGAACAAGATTTGATCTATGGAGTATTCACAACCAACGTGTGAGTTTGGTATTTCTTTTGTCTTCCCATTCAGTTCTTTCTAATACTTTGTTTTTCTGTAACACTATATTTATTTTAGAAAGTCAAGGATTTTTTTTCTAAACAATTACCTGCAAATTGCCTGTGTGTGAGAGATACAGGGGTAGGAGGGAGTGATTGTCTTACATTTGCTGTGCAAATAACTGCAAATATCCTTTGCTGAAATGTATAGGTGCCTCTGCAGATTAGCTTGAAGATAAGCTGCTGCTTAAGAGGGGCTCCTTGCTTGGTGAATGTAGTCCTTTCTGTAATATCTAAACAAGGTTTCTGTGTTTAGTTGCCTCTCCCCCTTACCTCATTGCCATCCAGTCGTCTTCTGCCCTGTCTTGTCCCTTTCTTTCCCTTTCTGGTGCAACCACATCTTCTCCTTTCATGCTGAATATATTAGAAGAAGAAAGAAAAATGACTTGAGAGTAGTTGGTTGGTTTTTGTCCTAGCCCTACAGATATGCCAGATGCTCATATTTATAGGGAGAAGACAAATATCCAGAATTGGTTTAGCTGGAGTGGACAATCCTCAGCCACAACACGGGAAAGCTGGGCATTATACATATGTTGATCTGGGTTGATTCATCCATCCATCCATCCATCCATCCATCCATCCATCCATCCATCCATCCATCCATCCATCCATCCATCCATCCATCCATCCATCCATCCATCCATCCATCCATCCATCCATCCATCCATCCATCCATCCATCCATCCATCCATCCATCCATCCATCCATCCATCCATCCATCCATCCATCCATCCATCCATCCATCCATCCATCCATCCATATACTACTAAAACTCTTGTGTCTGCAACCTTCAACTAGACAAAACAGTGCATCATAGGGCAACAATTTTTGAAACAAGATACCTCAATTGGGCTAACTTACAGAATGTGTCCAAAATCCAAGGCCCATTACTCCTGTGGGATTGAAATTTTGGAAATTTGTGGCTGCTTCATCATGCTGCACTGCTGTGGTCAGCCCAGGTCACGTGATCATTATGGGTGTGTCCCTGACTTCTTTCCCACCTCCTTCTGTCCCCTGTGCCCAATTGGCTGGCAGCAAGGCCCAATGGGAGAGTGGTGATTGGCTGCTTTGGAAATGAGGCAGAAATTTGAAATCTCTTAATGGCTGTGGGCATTGAGGGAAGGATGAGGGAGTGACTTGGATGCCTGCTGGCGAGGTAGGGCTGGATGGGGGGCACCAGTGCTCAGTGAACGAGCCTTCTTCCTCCTTCAAGGAGGAATACCAGAATGGGGAGTGGGGGTGCAGCTTTCCTCCTGGTCTGTGGCTCCCTTTGTTCCACCTCCCCCCCGCCACGGGGCCG